GAAACCCTTATTACTCTGTGGTGCTCTGTGTTTGACGTATATGATGAATAGGCTTGATGAGCATTTCCTTACAGTACATATTTTGTCAAGATGAATGTCACTTACAGTACTGTGCAAAAGTCAGAGACCACCTTTCATTTCTTTAATTTCCAGCCAAAACAGCTGTTAAGTATAAGTTATTCATTTTTCAGGAGATTTGAATAAAGAAGGGGAAAATTAACCAAAAACAGGAATTTCAAAAACTGCAGTTCATAAAAAATGATAAAAGGAAAATGAGACTCCCAACAAACATCCAAGACCTGGTAGACCACCAAAACTGTCCCATCTGATAAACATCACTTAAAGCTTTCATCTTTGAGAAAGAGGAAAAAATCAAGCTCCACTTTTGCTTCAAATCTAAACAATCCACAAGGGTTTCTGTCCATCCTTCCACTGTGAGAAGACAATTCAACACTATGAGTCTGAACGGATGTGTAGCTGTCAAGAGAAAAAGACATAGACAAAAAATAATTTGAAAATCAAACAAAGAAGCTGCTGGTGCTCTCACAATAATGGACTGACCTCATCTTAGTCCTGACCTCAACATGATTTAATATGTTTGGAATTATTTGGGTCATGAAAAGCAGAAAATTCTTAGACTAAACTTTGGAGGTATCCAAAAATATCCAAAAAAAACAGAAAGCATATCTACCAAAAAAAAGCTGTAATAATGGCAAAAAGTGGACCCACTAAATACTGATTATAAATCTGATGTTATAAATAGTTTTTCAGGCTTCTGTGTAGTTTTCTTTCAAATCCTTGTTTCCTGCTTTTTTCTTGATGCTACCTTGTATTTACTGGCCATTCTGAATGGAAATTAAATAAACAAAGGGTGGTCTCTGACTTTATTGCATCTCATTATTGTTAACCATGATGTATAGCAATGATATCTAAATGAAGAGCAGAGTAGAGGGCTCATATCACACTGGATGGAATTTCATTGGTTTCTTCCCATTTTACCCTTACATTTGCGTTTAGTAAAAAGGTTCAGAAAGCACTAACATTCTTTCAGACCTCAGTAATAAAGCTTACATATAGTAATTGTAACAGATTATAAAAGATTATAAAAACAGAAAAGAACAAATATATAAGACGTTTAGTACTACCATAACCAACCCAGTACAATGCAGCTGAACTGTTTAAAGTATACAAGCAATTAAATACAAAGAAAAAGGCCAGTAGTTTTCTCCTTCTTGTCAGTAAATGTGTTTATATATATGAAAATAAGATTCCATACTTCAAATTGTGTAACATCATCAAAAATCAATGGCTGCTTTATAGAATTCCATTGATTTAGACCCTCTATTAAATCATGACCCAAACCTGTAATTAGAAAGCTTTTTAGAAAGAAATACATCATTAGAAATTATTAGAAATTATTATATGGATTATAGAAAGGGTTTTGGTAATATTCCCATTTCATACAGTGAAAAAAGAAAGAAAAGAATACTGTAGATATTTTTTTAATGAGGATTTTATCCTGGCATAATAGCTGTCTCAGTATTTTATAATATTTTGCACAATGTGCACAATGTAAAGGGAGAGAGAATTATTTTTGGTCCCCTGGTTTGTCTGCCATAGTTTATAAAAACAAATACATGTATATATATATATATATATATATATATATATATCCTACTCTTAAGTAAATGTTGTTACTCTGACATGAAAATGTACAGAAAATGCTCATGGTAGAAATCTCTTGAAACACTGGGTTATCCTATATTGGCAGGACGCAGCTGCTAAAGCCCAATTAACACATTATTTTCATGCTCTTTACTTTGCACCCTTCATTTTCCATCAGAATATCTTCAGCCATATACAAAACCTATTTATAAACCCCCCAATCCTATAAACTCCTGGATCTTTTTCTAGGAACTCCTAATTAGACTTTTTTCCTACAACTGTTGCGGTCAGCTGTACTTCCAAGAACCCATACAGTCATAGGCAAAAGTTTAAACACCCCTGGACAAACGGCATGGTTTATTGATTTTATAAGACAACAGAGGGAGCAGGTTCTATGGGGAGTTCTACGAGGAACACACTTAAATGTGGCAACATTTCTGCACATTTTAGTGCACAATGTCTATTTATTTGCTAAATGAATAAAATATAAAATGTACATTACATATTGCACATGCCGCATTTTATGTTTCATACTGTTCTCATGTTATATGTTACAGTCAGCAAAAAAACAGAAAAATAGTGTATAAACAGTTGTGTATTAAAATGTGCAGAATTGTGTTCTCTGTAGAACTTGTGTTAACTTATTTTCACTTAGAAGATCAACAAAACATGCCATTTGACCAGAGCACCCAAACTTTGCATACATCTGTACATTAACAGCACTGAAGTCCAGTAAGCCCAGAGGTGGATAGTACCTAGTCAATATACTCAAGTAAAACTGTGAATGTATTTGTACTTTTCCTGAGTATTTTCTAATTGGAATATGTTTACTTCTACTTAAATCTATTCGTGATGAAAAGATATATAATATTATTTACAGTTTAGTCATCAACACTTAGTTACTATTGTTATTTCAGATACATTGGTGACTTCTGTACTGTGCTTTGCAATTGTTCACACCTCTGATGACTGAGGTTTATATTATTTTAGACCAAAGATGCAAAAAAAAAAGAAGAATAGAGCCTTTGGAAAGAGTTCACCTCTGATTGAGTCATTATTTCACCAACATAGCAACACTTTTACATGAGTATGGGTTTAGACACCTGTTAATCTGCTGCATACCTTTACTGTACTACTGTTATTATAGGGCTTTCAAAGGAATGGTTAGCATTTCCCTGTAGTTTGTTGTTTATATGAATAAATATACTCTTTTGGACTGTGCAGTAGGTTGGTTATCATGGCAGTGTTGAAATCATATACATTTATGCTTCCGTACATGCTGTTTGTTAAGAAATAACACTACTGCTCCTAAACTTTACTAAATGTGGTCATCTCAGACCCCTGTAGAATGGTGATTTCTCTTATTTCCTCTCAGATTTCCAAATTCTGGCAGTTAAAACTGTGCACGAGTTCTTTAATAGCCATTTGTAGCACTTTTCTCTATTAATTCATTACATAAAAGACTGTGGTTCATGACCTTGGGAGAATGCCTAGCTAGATGTTAAGCTTCTGGGTTTCACGAACACTCCAAACATGACCACACTGAGGTAGACAAACACATAAAAAGGCTCGTTATGGTATGATGCGAAAAAAGCAGAAAATAAATGGACAGCGAAAGAGATGAAAAATAGATATTTCTAATTCTTCTCTGTACAATGATGACCGTTTCTGTTTCTGAGATTAAGTCGCTTACTGAGGTTTATATACAGGGATTCAAAGGGGCAAATCCTGAAATATCCTACATTAGAATCTTTTTTTCTTGTTGCCTTCTCAATCATTATGTCGTCATGGAGGCCATGCGTTGTGCCGTTCATTCTAGACTATTCCACAAACAGAGCCCCCCACCACACCACTATTTTTATGAGCAGTCTTTTTGCATTTTCTCACTACAATAGTCCAAATGATACTCAGATGGGTCCTTCAATATGTATCATACAGTAGGTTAAAAGGAGCTGCACAGTAAAATTGATGCTATTGTACATGGAGGCACTTTTAACAGTTCTGTCAGTTAGAGGGTTAAAGGCACTATATGCAACGAAAACAGAATGTGTATCTTCAAAAATGTAGATGTTAAAGTAGATAAAGATACACTAAGTAACATTTTCCTCCTAGTTTTACACTTTAGCTGTATATAATGGTAAATATGCTGTAAAATCATGAACGTCTTGCAAGCCTTAAAAGAGACTAAGTGAGAGTTCTGTAGTGTCATTTTTTGTTTTTTGTCAGAAGTGCTATGCTAGTACAGTTCTTGTAAGAATAGTGTGGATGCATTTGTGTGTACTTTAACAAATGCTACGTGCACCAAATAAAAATGGATTACAACACGCATGAAAAGATTGCTTGTGATATCATCGACAATGGCAGACACTGAGAAATCCTAGGAAAAAACTTAATTAGTGTACCTTTAAATGTGGGGTGCATAATTTACAAGTAGTTTTAGAATTGGTCTGATTATAATCTGTGGGTTGCCACCTCCATGTTGTTTTGTCTGTAGATGTAATACTGCTTGGAGTGTACCAATATTATTTCAAAATGCCATTAAGATATCTTTGCAAATATATATTTTTTTAAATCAACATGTACACCGATCAGTCATAACATTAAAACCACCTTGTTTCTACACACATTGTCCATTTTATCAGCCCCACTTACCATATAGGTGCACTTGTAGTTCTACAATTACAGACTGTAGTCCATCTGTTTCTCTGCATACTATGTTAGACTGCTTTTACCCTATTCTTCAGTGGTCAGGACCCCCCAAGGGACCACCACAGAGCAGGTATTATTAGGGTGGGGCATCATTTTCAGCACTGCAGTGACACTGATGTGGTGGTGGTGGTGTTTTAGTGTATGTTGTGCTGGTATGAGTGGAGTTTTTAAACATGGCATCCACTCACTGCCTTGTTGGTCCACCTTGTAGTCAGAGACAACAGCTCATCTATTGCTGCGCAGTTTGTGTTTTTCTAGTTCTTTATCTGTGGTCACAGGACGCTGTTGGCTGGATTGTTTTGCTTGGTGGACAATTCTTAGTCCAGCAGTGTTTAAAAACTCCAGCAGCACTGCTGTCTGATCCACTTGTACCAGCACAACACAAACTAACACACCACCACCATGTTAGTGTCACTGCAGTGCTGAGAATGATCCACCATCAACATAATACCTGCTCTGTGGTGGTCCTGTGGTGGTCTTGAACATTGAAGAACAGGCTGAAAGGGGGCTAACAAAGTATGCAGAGAAACAGATGTACTACAGTCTATAATTGTAGAACTACAAAGTGCACCTATATGGTAAGTGGAGCTGATAAAATGGACAGTGAGTGTAGACACATGGTGGTTTTAATGGTATGGCTGATTGGTGTATCCCTTCATTAATCTACAAATACATACAAACCAATCTCAATTCGTAACACTGATGTCATGCATTAATTATAGCAGGATACACAGTACCTGAGTCGAGTAGGCCTCAATGCTTCATAGTTGACATGCCACGATCTCTATAATTAACTGCTCTGACCTTAAGATTAAACATTCAGTTCATAAATGCTTTTAAATAATTTATACCAGGAACAATAAATAATAACCATTGCACTTTTGGTGAAACCAAATGAGATAAAATCTGAGGGCATAAATAAATGGAAAAAAAGAAAAGAAAAAGAAAATAATGAGGTAATGTTTGTGCATGCCAATATCAAAAAACAAAGAATATTTTAACATGCTTATAATCTCCCAAAAATACATGTGGTGTCTCACATGGTATTGGGACTAATGGGGCGAAAGTCCTAGCATCTGCGGGAGAAATAGCAGCATTGCAGATGTCTTCCAGAAAAGTGCCACCCATCCAGCATGAATCCTTAGAGCGAGACTGGAACACTATGCTTTTCCTGTTACAATAAGGTGCATCTATTCTGCTCAGCGGAGCTCAAGATGTGACATCGCATATCCCCCAAAAGCAGACCACGTATCAGTATCTGCAGATGCTCTAGAAGGTCTGATGCACGTTCCTGGATGCCGTGTGCAATGTGTTATAATAAAAATCCATGTGTAATTGTTTCGGTGATGACAGGTAGCAGAGTCTCCCATTGGGCTTGCATTTTCTTAGAATTGAATATTTTAAACCACAGTATCTTAATTTTAGACAATCTGTTTGAAATATCTGTAGAAAGAATCCCTTGTCGTAAATATAGGGTAAAGCAAAAGCAATGCAATAACGCATTCTGGTATTATTAACACACTGGGTACGGTTGAGATGTTTCTCCAAGATGAAACTGGAACATTACACGTCTGTTAGAAGCTTCCCCTTGTTCACACAGTTCTGGTTCATGACGGTGCAGTTCCCAGTTCTTAGGTTTGCCTCTCTAAAATTGTCAATGCTGTTGTTCATGTCCTCATCTATCTCTACATACTCCGACTTGCTGACGATAGACGAGCTGCGCCGACTAGAGCTGGAGTCGGTGGCAATGTTGGGATTGCTTACATTGAGGAGCTGTGCCTGCTCTTCTCCTTCAGTCTCTCTGTGGTAAAAGTAGTTGAAATTGGACACAATCACTGGCACTGGGAGCGCAATGGTCAACACACCGGCGATGGCGCACAGAGAACCCACAATTTTGCCCCCAATGGTCACAGGGTACATGTCCCCATAGCCCACAGTGGTCATGGAAACCACAGCCCACCAGAAGGCATCAGGGATGCTTGTGAAGAAGGACTCCTTCTCCTCAGCTTCTGCAAAGTACACAGCACTGGAGAACAAAATGACCCCAATGAAGAGAAAGAAGATGAGCAGGCCCAGCTCACGCATGCTCGCCTTCAGAGTCTGGCCCAAAATCTGCAGCCCTTTGGAGTGTCTCGACAGCTTGAAGATCCTGAACACCCTGACCAGACGGATTACCCTGAGGATGGCCAGAGACGTGGCTTGCTCTCCCCCTCCCTTCGGTTCCCTCCCGTTCTCGGGATCCTCTGCTAGCTCTGTGCCAAGCGTGATGAAGTATGGTATGATGGCCACCACGTCAATTGTGTTCATCATGTTTTTGAAGTAGGCTGCCTTGCTTGGACAAGCGAAGAATCTCACAATCAACTCGAAGGAGAACCAGATGATGCAGAGAGTCTCCACAATGAAGAAGGGGTCTGTGAGAACATTTGGTTTGTAATAGAAGGTGCTGTTCCCTATAGTTTGTAAGTGTCCCTGCGGGTCCTCCTTGAGCTCTGGTAACGTCTCCAAGCAAAATATGACGATGGATATGAGAATGACCATAACGGACACAATGGCGATGCCTCTTGCTGGACCTGAGCTCTCAGGATGCTCGAACAGGAGCCAGATTTGCCTCTGGAACTCATTCTCTGGCAGTGGGCGCTCCTCCTCGCGGATGAAGCCTTCATCTTCCCTGAACTTCTCCATGGCCTCGACACCAAGCTCATAAAACTTTATTTCCTCTGAGAACATATCCAAAGGAACATTCACAGGTCTCCGCAGCCTTCCACCGGACTGGTAGTAGTAGAGGATGGCATCGAAGCTCGGGCGATTCCTATCAAAGAAGTACTCGTTCCTCAATGGGTCGAAGTAGCGCATCCTCTTTTTGGGATTGCCCAGCAGCGTGTCTGGGAACTGAGCAAGCGTCTTGAGCTGGGTCTCGAAGCGCAAGCCAGAGATGTTGATGACCACACGTTCACAACACTCGTGCTCCTCGTGCTCGGCGGCGTAGGACTCCTGTGGGTGGCCTGCCAGAGCCGAGCTCTCGTCCATGTGGTCTCCTGCCACCACTGTCATTGCGGAGCTCAGACCAGCAGCGCCACAGGAGATGCTGGGGTCGGGCGCACGTTCATGCAGCTTCTCGCCTCGCTCCGCTCTCTGCGGCTTAAGCTGGCATCGGAAAGGAGCTTCTCCGGCGATTACCCTTCCACCGGCCCATAGCTCCAGTCTCCAGCAGAGTGCTGCATCATCTCCTTTTGGTCACCACTCATCCATAGAGAAAGAGACAAGGAGAAAGGGAGGTGATTGGATATCCGAAAAATGATTGCAGAGAACAAAAGCAAAGCAGTATATTTCCTATCATGAAGACAAAGCAATTTTTTTTCTTTCAAGATGTGTCTTCCTATCTGTGCACTGTGAAGGCTAAAACGAGCACTATAAAGGCTAAAATGCGCATCAGATGAGATGAACTCCATTAGGAGAAACCAGAACAGCCTCTCGAATCCTACACACACACACACATACACGTACACACATATACACTATTCCTCGCTGCGTAGCCGTTATGCACCAGCGTTCAAGTTTCAGGCTGCTGCCCACCTTGTACTGCAAAATCTGCATTCACTCTTACAATATTCATTTACATCCAGCTAAATGTAGGTGTACACTGTAGGTACCGAACCCAAAACAGTGGTGCTTTTGCCGTTAGTGTGCAGTACCACGGCACGGCACCTCACATAGGGAGCTTATAATGCACAATAATCCCTTAAATACAATTACAACCAATACCTACAATCATGTCATTATGACCAGTTGGTGTTGTAACACTAATATTTTATAGTTCTTACCTATGGCGATCTGTCAAGGGCTTTGTAGGGGATCTGGCTCCTGATTACAGCCGGTGCTCCAACTTTGGCTTCAATCCGAGCCCCGCCGCGCGCCGAGAGCTTTTCCTTTCGTGCTAAACGAACAGACTCCGGTTTCCTTCGCTAACGATCCTCTGTGTTCCCGCAGAGTCACAGCCAATGTGTGGGTAAATCTCCACACCGGCGTCTGTTTACCGTCACGCTGAAGGGTCTCGGACGCCAGTGAGCGACAGCGTGAGAAGAAAAGTGACCAGCACCAACAAGATCTCCGCGCTTGTGTTTTGTTTTTTTCGTGCTCGTCGTGCGCTGCTGCGCTCCGAGCGTAGCGCGCCTCCGCCGCTGCCCAGCGCGAAGAAGGGAAAAAAGAAGATGATGATGATGGTGGTGGTGGTGGTGGTGGTGGTGTGATGGAGAGAGTGAGTGAGAGAGAGTGAGTGAGAGAGAGGTGGGGGGTGGGAGGGGGGGGTACATTAGCGGCCGAGGTGCCGCATCAGCAGAAACGGGGATAAGAAAGAAGTCTTTCGTGTTTTGGTTGGTCCAGAAAACGCGGACAAGCCGAGACGCAGCGGACACTCGGCGGAGCGGGACGGAAACGCGTGGGAGGAACCGGCGCTGCGCGAGTGGAAAGAGCTCCGAGATAATGTGAAAAGCACACTGCAGGAGCGGAGTGAAGGGGAGAGAGAGAGAGAGAGAGAGAGAGAGAGAGAGAGAGAGGCAGAAAGGATGGGGAAAGAAGGAGTGTGTGTGTGTGTGTGTGTGTGTGTGTGTGTGAGTGAGAGAGAGAGAGAGAGAGAGGGAGAGAGAGGGAGAGAGAGAGAGGCAGAAAGGATGGGGAAAGAAGGAGTGTGTGTGTGTGTGAGTGAGTGAGTCAGTGAGTGAGTGAGTGAGTGAGAGAGACAGAGAGAGAGGCAGAAAGGATGGGGAAAGAAGGTGTGTGTGTGTGTGTGTGTGAGAGAGAGAGAGAGAGAGAGAGAGAGGCAGAAAGGGAAAGAAGGAATGTGTGTGTGTGTGTGTGTGAGTGAGAGAGGGGGGGGAGAGAGAGGGAGAGAGAGAGGCAGAAAGGATGGGGAAAGAAGGAGTGTGTGTGTGTGAGTGAGTGAGTGAGTGAGTGAGTGAGAGAGACAGAGAGAGAGGCAGAAAGGATGGGGAAAGAAGGAGTGTGTGTGTGTGTGTGTGTGTGTGTGTGTGTGTGTGTGAGTGAGAGAGAGAGAGAGAGGCAGAAAGGAAAAGGAGAGAGGATTGAAAGAGAAAGAGAGAGGGAGGGAGATTGAGAGAGGGAGAGAGAGAGATAGACAGAAAGGAAGGGGGAGAAAAGGAGTGAGAGAGGCAAAAAGAAAGGGGAGAGAGGGAATGAAATAGAAAGAGAGAGACAGAGAGAGAGAGGCAGAAAGTAAGGAAAGAGGAGTGAAAGAGAGAGATAGAGAGAGAGACAGAAAGGAAGGGGGAAGAAGGAGTGAGAGAGAGAGAGAGAGAGAGAGAGAGAGAGAGGGAATAAAGTGAGAGAGAGAGAAAAAGAGAAAGTGGGGGGTTGGTGGTTGCGGCACAATGCAGACGGTCTGTATCAGCCTCCACAAGCGCTTTTTCCACACCACAGAAAAACATGCAGTGATGATTTTCTTCATCTCTCCTGCGTTTTATACACTGTGTTGTGATGAGCATGAAAACGGGGGGTCTGCATGTGTACACAGTCAGAAAAAAAGGCCCTGTGGTAGTAAAAGGTCCTTTTTTAAAGGCCACTAAGGGTGAATGGAAGTACTACCTGTGTACCTTCAATGAGATTTAAAGATACACTACATTTACTTTGGCATGTTTATATCTTTTCTTAACTTAACTTCTCTAAAAAGGAAAAAATAAAATTAAACCCCTTGGTGTATGGGTTCAGTCCAACTTTAAAAAAAATGGAAATGGTGCATAATGGAACTGTAGACTTACGCTTGAGGGTACAATTCCAGTGACAGCATTTGTGCTTTGAAACATTAAGTTAAATCAACTGGTCTTTATTTAGTCATACCTCAGTGTAAGTTGTATACATTGAAATGAAATGCAGATCTTCAGGACCCTGGTGAAACACACCAACAGCAGTACATTAAACAAAGACTTTATGGTGCAGATATACAACAGTGTGAGACAAGTGCAGAATATGCAATAAATACAATACAATAAATATAAAGAACAAAAAAAACACATAACAATAAATACTAGACAGGACAACAAAATAATATTTACAACTGGGCACATATATATATATATATATATATATATATATATATATATATATATATATATATATATACGCTGCTGTCAGAACAAAACCTTGTATCTCATTATTGTCAACCTTGTATCTCCATTGTTGTTTTTCAGTTTTTGACATAATTTGAAAACGCCTGTTGCCCTTTGCATTGTATGTAAATTTTTTGATTCATAGAGCAAAAGAAATGGCCCAGGTCCCAGGTTCCATTTACTTACAGTAAAAGTAAAGCAGGATTTTTTCCTTCTCCTATAAAGTTTCCATTTTGGATATGAGGTTTTATTCAGACAGCAAATATATGTATATACACACATACATACATACACATTGACATCAAAGCAGCATATGGGTGCAAACATTGTCAACTATAAACTCTACAGAAAGACTGATGTCTCATTGCGGCATTCAAATAGTTACAGAATTTAAAGTCTAGGCATGCGGTGATAAAAAAGGGGAGTGTGATCAGTCTATAGTGGATGTTGGAACAAACTATGGTCGTTATATGGTTTAGTACCTTTTTTGTCAGTGAGCCTGTGAGCATTTAATTAAATTCAGTTCTATTTTATTTGTTTGTTGTTTTTCAGACAGAAATGCAATTCCAGACCAAGTCAAATGTGCAATAAAAACTCTTGAAGAATCTTCTTGAGGAATCAACACTCAGAAGGAGAACTAATCTATACTATAGAAGTTGGATTAAGAAGCACATGCTCTCAATGTTGCAATACACATTCAAAAGTTTTGCATAGCAGCTGTGTGCATGGCATATTCTGGTTTGAAATGTTGTGTGTCATGCTTATGTATGACAGCACAGAATACAATATGCTGCAAGAAGTAAGGTCTTCCATATCCAGCAGTTTCTTGTTGAAGGACACTTGGGTATGTCTTGTTGAAGGGCACTTGGATGTTTTGCTTTAGTGCACTCAAAATCACAGGCAAGAGGTGAAAGCAGGTCTATTGTGAGAGGAGAGGAAGGTCAATGTGACAGGGGCACTTGGGCTGATAGGAGTGGCTCATTATCTCACCTTGACATTGCAAATCAGGTACATAATCATTGCACCAGATGTGTGGAGGCTAAGCACTCACAAAAGAAAGAAGACAAATGGCTCTTTGTATCTACAGAATATATAATGTTGACTTTTCACAGAATAGAAGAAAGAGTCTGAAATATGTTTTTCAACTTACTGAACATTAATGGTGGTTTTATTTGAGAACACTTCATGGCAATGCTCCAACATTTCTCCACAATAGAGAAAAAAAATATATAAATGTATATGATGTAGTTCAATTCATGTTGGTCATTAAGGAGAGGTCACAGTCACTTCATGGACAATTTTGAAGAAAAAAGGTAGTTTTCAGCACCTTGGACAGTGACAGTTCTTATGTCTTAAGCATAAGCTTCATCCATTTATCCTCTAATTTAAAATGACCTTTTGGATGTAAGAGGTGTCTGTTTGTGAATGTAACTGCAATTGAACATCTGCTAAAATGACACCATGCTTTACTTTAGTACCCGCCTCCTTACCAACATATATGAATCAATATATGATTCATATTTTATGCAGCTCGCACCCCACACTGCACTGCTGTGGGAGGCCTGAAAAACACCATCTATAACACAAAAGCAGTGTCCCAGCAACCAATGCAGGATAAACTGAAAAACAACCTGAACTGGGATGCCAAACATTATCAACAGCACTTATTTCATTATTAGAACAATTTCTTGCAAGTTTGTTTTTCTTTGATTCATTGTTAAATTATGGCTATTTGGCTATTAGAAATGGCAGTTCAAAGAAGCCTTCACCTAAAGTGTAATTAGTGAGTGGCTTTGTATGAAAGCAATTTCAAAGTAAAATCACTAGATCGCAAAATCTCGCCGAATAACACATGGATTACATGGCCTACACTGATCTATAGGGCTTTATATAACAACATTTAGTTATAATTGCAGCTGCTATGATGTATTTGAGTAACTTAGCAACTGCCAGGTGTACCTCTGTACAGCTAAATTGGCCTTTTACTGCATGCAGGGAGATGCTGTGCATGCAGGTTTACAGAGCAGCGACAAATTCAGTAAAAACACATGGGGATTGTGAAGAGAAAAAAATAAATAAATGTTGAAGGTCAATAAAAGTAGCTAGGATGGTAACATTGTAGAATGATTTCTTTGAAGAATGACCCTCCACCTTTTTACGTCTGTGCTCCCAGCCTAGCATGGAAATTTCAACAGCACAGGTACTGACAATTTCAGCATTTAAAAAGTGCTAGCACTCGCCATGTTACTTGTGTTATTGCTACCACAAGGTAGATTTTATTAAGATAGATTTCATTGACCTGCAGAAGTGGCACAGTGTAACTGTTAGATATAATACAAATAATGCAAGGCATAAAACAAGCAATATTGGTGAACAGTAGGAATTTATTTATTTTTTTGTGGAAGTCATCCATTTTCAGCTTTTGTTCTCAGTTCTTGCAAAGATATGAGCTCTCAGTCGGCCATCGTCCAGTACGTATTCCAGTGTATATGCCATACATGTATGTATGACCTGACTTAGACTTGAGCCTCATTCTTTTCTTCCGAAAGTGGAAGAAACATGGAGAGGCGTCTGACTGCAGACGGGACTCTACATTGTCAGTTAAAAGCTTCTGCAGGTGCAACATTCACCACGAAGATGAATTTCAGATTCAGATTTGTCATTCCACCTTAAATGGTGCAACAGTATTTCAGCACCTGACTGCTGCACCATTTAAGGTGGAACAGACAATTTGACCAAGCCAACTTCAGCTTTGTCATTCACCATTATTTTGCTGTCTTTTTGTAAACTATGCTCAGCTTGGTCTTTTTGTTTTCTGCTGTCATCTAAATTTAATCAAAACTAGTGGTTGTTTTTAGTTTGCTGAGATTTTAGTACTAGTTTTAGTGCTAAGCTAGTTTTTATTTGAATCCTGTGCTCCCAAAAATCATCAAAAATGATCTTCAAATATAATTTTTTTAATAAAATCATTAGTACTTTGATTTTTTTTTTTATGTGTAGTATGCCTGTCATGGTTATCTCTGTACCATGGATTTTGTATTAAAAACAACCTTAATATACAGT